GTCCCTGCCCTGCGCCCTCGCCTTGTGCACTCCGGACCCTCCGACCCGCCTGGGCAGTCCGCTGTCGGGCAGGAAAGCTTCGGCTGGACTAGGCCAGGGGAGGATGGGTGGTGCAGGTGTCCCACGGCCTCTGCCCTCCGCCATGCGAGCCGCCCTCGCCACCTGCCCGCGGGAGAGGAGACACTCATCCACCAGCACGCGGCGGGGACGGCTTACCTGATTTCTCGTCACGCGCCCACGAATCAGGCTTCCCTACTCGGCTGGCAGGTTTCTCCAGGCCTAGAAACGCATCTAGGACGCGGGCGGACCCCTGGGACCCCGCCGTCAGAGCCGAGAGCCCTCTCCCGGGCTCCCCTCCCGCGCGTTCTGGAGTCGCGCCCGGCCTCCTGACTCCTTGCTTGAATGTCAGCGCCAGACCTGCAGGGAAGACCAAGCCCAAGCACCAGGGTGTGGAATGCTGAGCACAGGCTCCTCAGGCCCAGCCTCGTACAGGTGGGGGGAGGCGGAGGGCCCCGCAGCAGAGCAGCAGGCTCCCCAGTTGCACCCTCCCCACCCCAACCGACCCTGCCCACTGAGCATGCCCAGCTCACTTGGACCTACAAGTGCTGGGCAAGCCCAGGTGTACCCAAGGAGGGCACAAATGGGGTTCAACTGGAACCCATTTCTTTAATACCTTTCCTCCAAAGGCTCTGGGCACTTCACAAATAACCTACCATCGTGTTGGAAAAAACCATGGAAGGGTTGAAAAGGTCTTCCAAAGGAAGGCCGTGAAATTAACTAGAACCCAAATCGCAGCGGTGGGTTTTTCCAGTTACTTAATAAATCACTTACTAATTTCTTTTAAATACCGCAGAATTATTTAAATTGATAAGAGATTCAAATGCGTAGCGACATTGGATCTTAAATTCCTAGTAACTTCAGGAATCCAGCCTACCCAGTGGATAGTGTATCCAATGGGACAGTGGTGATCAGGCTTGGCTTCTGAAGGGGTTCAAAACAGGCCACCACAAGATGTGCTACTTTAGCATGTGGATTATTTTGAACTAAGGCAATGAATACTGTGGGTGCCTGTGTTGGGGGGGAAGGGGCAGGAGGGCGCTCACGGAGAAACTTTTACCTCTCCCTTAATCTAAATTGGGGACCTTACAGATAATAAGAGTTATTACCTGAAATAAGTGTTTATGACTTATCTATAGAGCAGGGCAAACATCTAATTACTGAATATCTACTCTGCTTATCTTCCTGTGAATGACCTTCCTCTCCTCTGAAGCTGGAAGGGCCTGACCTGGTTTTAGTTCAGAATGCCATTGATACCTCTCTCGCATGTGGGGTCTCTGACTCTCTCATGTATGCAGGCTTCCCATAGGTACAGTTTGGTTATTTTTCTCTTGTTAATCTGTCTCATGTCAATTTGATTATTAGACCAGCTGGAAGCACCTAGAAGGGTAGAGGAACGTTCGTTCCTCCCCCACAATATACATTAGAATGAAGAGGGATTGGAAAATGATTAATGCCAGCTTCTCGTCCCCACACCAGTTAAATCAGTCTGAGGATACAACTTCGAATTTCTTAAATTTTAAAACTGTGATTATCAAACTGTAGCCTTGGGAGCCAGCAGCTAACAGCGTCACCTGACAATTTGAAAGAAATGCAAATTTGGCTTCACTCCACACTGATTCCTAAACTCAAGCTGGGGCCTAGCTATCTGATTTAAAAAACACTTCTGGTGATCCTGATGAATCCGGAAGCTTGAGAAACACTGTTTCAGAAGTCTCCCAGGTGACTCTAACGAGCAGGCAGGGTTGAGAACCCCCTGTAATAGACCAATGCTTTTATACATTTTCAAACCTCAAACGTTTATTTAGAAGACCAACATGTCACACAGTAAAGGAATAATCTAGTTGAACTGAGATGCCAGTTCTGGATTTCTTTCCGCCTAATTCTCCAAGGACAGTACAATGTTTGCAAAGTACTTCTGTACTCTGGTGCCTAGCACACTGCCTGTAACATAATAAATGTTTGATAAGTATTTACTGTTTTCAAATGAATGCTTAGGTGAACAATTTGTTCCAGGCCCTCTTATGTCTACTGTTTTTCCCCAGAAGTCCTGGTCACCCTGCCAGCTAACAAGCCAAGAGGGATTCAGTTCTCATCAATAACCCATGGCCATCCATGATGGTCTAACCCAAGTCAGACCCTGATGGAACAGAACATGGGAAGAGGTAGAGAATTTTGAGGAGGTGAAAAAAGTCAGAAGCACTGGACATGATTTCTCTTGCCAAGGGTGGGTCCCAAAACAACCAAAGGAAAGCGAAAGGACACTAGGCATCTAGTGGGATTCAGGAAAGGCACCCAAGGAAAAGGATGTGTATAGAAGAATTTAAGGGAGGAGAGATAAGGAAGCTTAATGTGATCAGCCTACAGTTTACTCTGGATCTTTTTCTAAACCTTTCCTCCACCCTCCACTTCCCCACTCTCAATACACACACACTTAATCTCAACTACAGCCTTTAAAAAAATTTTTTTTAAATAAGACACTGTTGTAAAATAGTTACTTCCATTTACTGCATGAAAACATAGCTGACTTGTAATTATTCAGCATAAATCAGGCATCTATTTTTGTTCAAGGCATGGATCTTTTTCTAAACCTTTCCTCCACCCTCCACTTCCCCACTCTCAATACACACACACTTAATCTCAACTACAGCCTTTAAAAAAATTTTTTTTAAATAAGACACTGTTGTAAAATAGTTACTTCCATTTACTGCATGAAAACATAGCTGACTTGTAATTATTCAGCATAAATCAGGCATCCATTTTTGTTCAAGGCAAAAGTGGTAAAAAAAATTCTTAATTTTTAAAGATAAACACTAGATAATTTCAAAATGCAAAGGTTTAAGATACTTCTGCTTCAAGAAACAAGAAACTTACAAAATAGAAAATCATTCCAATTAACTTCATCAATATTTTCTACAGGGAATAAGATATAAAAATATTTTTCTTTTCCTTTTAGCCTTATATATAAATCTTTAAGATTTAGGACACTATTTATGAGTACCTAAAGTGACCTTCTGCCTCTCTATCTCTGCCTCTGTACCTTGCTTATTATGACAAGAATTCTGTGGAAAGGGTTTGGTTACTCATTGGGATATCTAAAAGGAGCATGATTTCCCAGATGCCTAACAATTTCTTTTCATTATTAAGATAATTGGGGGTGGGGGGAGGGAGAATAATCAAATTTTGGAACTATTCTGCAGCATTAAGTATTACACTAGATCCATAAAGAATATTTAAAAACCTTTTATTCACACACATATACTTGCTACAACTTCTTTTGTTCATGGAATTAAAACAATACCAAACAAAAAAATATCGGGGACTAAGAACACTGAAAACTGATTGAGGGTGTAGGAGAGAAAGCATTTCACCATTACTCAACTTAAAAACGAAGTAATTATTTCAGTAGAATCAATCTACTAAAGACCAGTGCCTCAGGGAAGTTGGACTCTTAAGTGTTTCTCCTTGTCATCATTAGCATGACTCAGCATTTGGAATGAAACTATGTTTACTGTCTTTCAGATTGACGGTGTCAAATAACTTTGGTGCCACCTAACACTTTTCTCATGTGCCTAAGAAAACTTCAGGACAGTCATGGGCTTTCAAGCCTCACATGGCCACCAAAATCTAAAAAGCTTTCTTCTTTCCATTTGTTCCTGTCTTACCAGTGTTGTAGCCGCCAGCCCCTGATAGACACACAGACCACCAGAAACCAGTGAGTTATAGGAAACACACTCTTTATTCAGCCAGCTGGGTCTGCCAGGGGTACGCAGACCCCAAATTAAGCAGCCCTGAAATGTAGAGGTACAGAGTTTTAAAGCCCTAAACCCCATTCTTAATCCTGTTTGAACACACAAGTCTATTTTTCTTCTTTGTACTAACTGTCGACCCACAGGTCAGTTGTGCAAGCAGTGGGTACAGAAGCAGAAAGCTTCTTGTTAGAGCGTTATGTTCCCATGGGTGATAAACAGTAATTTTCCAGCCAGCACATTCCCCACTGGCTTTAGCAGAAAATCAAATCCTTGATTCTTTATGTGGAATTAATTCTTTTCCTTATATATCTAAACAAGAAATTGAGGAAACATAGGCCAAAAGTTAATAAGAGGAGGAAGAGAATTAAAGGTCCAGCTATAGCAGATAAGAGGGCTGTTAGAACATCCTATGAAACCAGTATTCTGATTCTAGTCTTTGTTTATCCCTGGCATCTAAATTTCTCTGTACTAGTAGTAAACTTTCTCTAATTATTCCAGAGTTATTAGCATAGAAGCAACAGGTTTCACCTAGAGCCATATATAATCCATATTGTTCTAAGTATAATAAATCTAAACCTCTTCTATTTTGGAGGACTACTTCTGCTAGTGAATCGACTTGAAGTTCTAGCCTGCTGAGCTCAGTTAAGTTTAGGGGAGTTCCTACCCTGACATAGTAAGGGAGTTTTGGGTTTAGGCACAACCAGCAATCTTGTCCTATGTC